ACTGAATGGATCAAACAAGAAAGTTATAGAAAAATGGTTATTCCGCGTACATTTCTTATTAATGATGGAGCTGGTTTTGGAAAATTGGTGAGACAATTCCAAAAATTCCCGATTCGCAAAACTCTGGATTCTTTACATATTAATATTATATCAGCAGACAATCCCTGGGAAGTTAATATGTTTTTGTTTCAATTATTAACATTTGGAATTGTTTCTCACCAAAGTGATATTGGAACCCTTCCGGATATCCACGTATTTATCGAAGTTGCTTCTAGTGTGGATAGTCGATTGGCAAAATCATTGCCAATAGTTAGTTATTTAGATACTCCACATCTTCGTTTCAATTTTAACAAATTAATCGTATCGAATGAGATTTATAGTCCAATTCAAGTAGTTTGTCAATACTTGAATGCACATGAAAATGCCTCATTGGATGAATGTGAAATAGCTTATCGACAACCCACACATAAGCCTCTTCATACTAAAAGATGTCAACAATTATTGTCCAAATATTTCTTCAAAACTATTACCCCTGATCTTTTATCTTTTCGATTCCTTGAAATCTTTATTAATGTTTTTGCAAATCAACTGGTAAGATTATAATTGTGATTTATTATTCCTATACAATTCTGATTGAAATTATATATATATTTTTTAAAGATCCGGTTGTCATGCAGTTCATTTTTCACAGTGGAGAATCTAAGGTTAATGATCAAAGAAAATAACATTCGATTAACTTTGTTTAACACCTTAATGGATGTTTCTAAAGATTTTGCCACACGATCAATTCAAACCAAAAATTCTCAAAAGCAAGCACTTTCAGATTCACCAGATCAATTAGGAAACATAACTAGTTGGGACGATTCTAATCATCTTTTAGTGTTTTTCATGTCTCAAACACCAGATTCCATTTGTGCTTTATATCGTGATAAAGCAAAAGTTCTTGAAAATGTTCAGACTTTACTTAAAAGTCAGCACATTTCAAGTGACAAATGGCAGTTAGAAGATTATAGAACAATGCCAATGGACTTATTGTTGCAGAGATTGGAAAGTATAGCTCGTAAAACTCATCATAAAATTAATTATCCACCTTATGCTTTATCAGCTGATAATCTTTTGAAGATGGCTTTGATTTTGTTGAGAACACGCGCTAACGTACCTGTAGTAATTTGTGGTGAAGCTGGATGTGGAAAGGTATGAATGTTACATAAGAGTTTTTTTATAGTAAAAACGGTCAAGATGCAATGTGAGAATCTAACGGTTTTAACTGATAAATTTTTTTTTGCAATTATTAATAGACAAGCTTGATTAGTTTCCTTGCTAGAGTGGTTGAAGCGGAATTTCACGCTTTAAATCTTCATGCTGGCATAACAGAGGAGATGATCATTCAATTTATGGAAGACTCTCAGATAAATGTTCATCATCATGAAGTCTGGTTGTTCTTTGATGAAATCAATACATGCAATCATATAGGTCTCTTAGCTGATTTGATAGCTCATAGAGTATATAAAGGCAATCAAATGTTACATCCAAACGTTAAAATATTTGCTGCATGCAATCCATATAGAATTAGAATTAAAAGTTCAAGCGCTGCAGGATTGCGTATTAAAAGATTTGATGAACAAAGAAGTAATTTAGTTTATGAAGTAAAACCATTACCCGACCAAATCTTAGATTATGTTTGGGATTATGGTGTTTTAGAACCAAGTGATGAAAGAAAATATATAGAGATTATGACAAAAACTCAACTTGACAATAACCTACATCATGAAATGCTTGCCGATCTATTGTTCACTTCACAACAATTTATTCGAAATGTTGAAGAAAAGTATACTGTTAGTTTAAGAGATGTTAAAAGAGCTATTACTTTAATAAAGTTCTTTTATAATTCATTACAAGACCGGCCTCGGGTTAATAAAGAAGTACCGTATCCAACTGCTAAACCTAATATAGTTTTACGTTCGTATATACTTGGGCTAGGATTTTGTTATCAATCTAGATTATATGAACAAGAACAGCGAACAAAATATAGGAAAAAGATGTGTGAAATATTTCTAAAAAACAAGTTTTCAATTCGAGAGGAATTGTTTGAACACGTGATTAGAGAAGAACAAGAAGATTATGTTAATAGGATGACACTCCCATTTAATACTGCAAAAAATGATGCATTATTGGAAAATGTGCTGGTTATGATTGTTTGCATTCTCACCAAAATTCCTGTGTTTATTATTGGAGCTCCTGGGTATTAATGCATATCTCTCTTTACATTTTAATAAATTTATTGAATAATTTATTAATTTATTCTTATTTTACAGGTCTTCGAAATCTTTAGCAATTCGACTTGTAAGTCAGAACTTACGTGGTTCGGATTCCAATGATGCATACTTTAAAACTCTACCTCAGGTACATAAATTGCATAATTTATATATAACAATAATTGCCTATTTATTAATATAATCCTATATAATTGTAATCATAAATAGGTATACTTAATTCCTCATCAAGGATCATCATCATCAACGTCTGATGGCATAATTAAAGTCTTTGAAAAAGCCAAAAAGTTTCAAGACACAAGTTCAGATGATTTTCCAGTGGTCAGTGTCGTATTATTGGATGAAGTTGGATTGGCTGAAACAAGTCCTCATAACCCATTAAAAGTTCTTCATTCTCTATTGGAACCAAGTTATCCTGCTGAAGGACCAACTGTTTCTGTTGTTGGAATTAGTAATTGGAGATTAGATAATAGTAAAAGCAGTAGAGCCCTGTTAGTGCAAAGGTATATTATTCTTTTAATACGAAATAATTTGTTTATTGTTTACAATCTATGTACTAATTTAAATGCATAACATATTTATGTACAGACCGCAATTAACACTTAATGATCTTGTAGAGATAGCAGTGCGTTTACTTAATGACGAATCAACCACAAAAGTACAGCCATCTTCTGTAAGGCACATAGCAACTGCCTACTTAGAGTATGCAGAATCTGGACAAGTAATTCCAAATTTCCATGGACTTCGAGATTACTATTCTTTAGTTAAAAATCTTTCAAGCCAGGAACTAACACCAAAGAATATACAAATGTCTTTAGCTAGAAATTTTGGCGGTACCAATAATTATTCTGAAATATGTAAAAAATATTTTGGAAATGTTATAGATATTTTTAATTCAAATCAAAACTGGACTTATGAACCGATATCGACTGAATTTTTAATTAATGCAAATCTTGAAGATGAGTTCGCTAGACATTTAATGGTAATCGGAAACAGTGATTCGATTGTTAATTTATTAGTTTATCAATTGAGACAGCGAGAATTGGAACCAGTTGTTATTTTTGGATCACAATTTCCTAAAGATCAAAATGATCAAGGAAGTGACTATTCATATACTGTTTTGAGTAGAATTATGGTATGTACAGTATTTTATTGATATTGAATTTTTTTTCCTGGCATTTGACGTTTAATATTTGATTGTCTTGTAAATATAGATGTGTGTGGAAGCTGGTAGACCTCTTATCCTAACTGACTTGGATATAATCTATGGTAATTTTTCAACTTATTTGTAATTAAATTTCCGTATGTAAAAACTAAATCCTATGAAAAATATGTTTATAGGAAGTCTTTATGATTTATGGAATCAGAATTATATCGTAGTTGGTAGTAAAGATGATCCAAAATATTATACCAGAGTTGCGCTTGGTGCTTATGCAAACCCAATGTTGTAAGTTTTAATAATTTATTTGCGTATTCATAAGTTTTTAAATGTAAATAAAGTTAAGGATGATATATATTTTAAAAGATCCGTATCAAAGAACTTCAGATGTATTCTTGTAATGGATGAATCAAAAGTAAAAGATGCTGATCCGCCACTCCTAAACCGATTCGAAAAACAAAGAATGACAATGAGAGATACATTTACATCCGTTCACGAAGAATTGGTTGAGGAATTAACTTCTTGGGCAAAGAGAATGTCAACTATAACATCAATGCAGCTCGCTGTTTCACAGGATAAATTTACATTAAGTGACTTGTTTATTGGATTTAATCCCGATGAAACTATTCAGAGTTTGGTGATTGATATTAAAGAGACTTATCAGTGGATGGATAGTTTGGAGATCTTGGAAAAGTGTAAAGAATGCCTGATTGCGATTGCTTCTTCTGATGGCATTGTTAGGTCTGAGGTAATTATAGTAACAATTCTTTTGAATCTATAAAATATATGTTGCTTATTTTGTATTTTTGGTTTAGAAATCTGCATTGGAACCCGATGAAATAGAACATTGCAAAAAAGTTTACTTTAAAGATCAACATCATGATCATCTGGAAGATTATTTTTCATCTCTACTTGATACAGAGCCGACGACTAAAGGGTATCAAATTATTATCAACACATTTTCGAATATCAATACAGACATTGCGAAATGTCTTAAAGACGTATTTACTTGCCAAGTTCTTAAACTATCAACCTTTAAAACTGAAGCAGAGTTTCAAAATCAAATTAAACGATTCTGGTTCGATTCACCAAATAAAGTGATGTTGGTATTACAATGTGATCTTACTACCGCTAACGCTGGATGTATTAAGTTGGCCAAATTTTTGATCGAACAATGCCGATTAGAGTATTTTACAAAAATGGAACAAGCTCAAGGGTCGCAAGAACAAGAAAACTTTATAGTTAAGCATGTATGTATCATACTTCACATACATAGGGATAATCAGGTGGGATGGAAAGGTTTCAACTTTATGTGTAAGTGGAAACAAGTTACAATTGAGACATTGGTTCGACAAGAAAAACCTTTATCATCACTTTTGTATGGAAGTCTTTGTGAGATTATTGAAGAGACTTATCCATTTGAAGAGATTTTGAAACAAGAATTGTTATGGTGCTTATTATGCATTAAGTACCCATCTAACCTTAAAGGAGTTAACCATCTAAAGTAAGTTTTTTAATGTTTTTTTTTTTTTTTTTTGATTATTCCATTATATCAAATTTTTATGTAAATATTTTGTAGGTACATAACCGAAAAAATCCCTGGAAATCAGGAACTTGTCAATGCATTGAAAACAAGAACAAAAGAATGGATAGAACAAGAAAATTCATTAACAGATTGGCAATATCATGTTGCATCCAGTAAAAAGTCACTGTATCCACATTCGTCATTTGTTACCGCATTGTTAACACATATTCGAGCAATGGTTCGAAAACCATTAGCAAGAATATTATGCGCACTTGAACGAGTTTCTGCAATTGAAACATTTATAAACCTCAACCATCTCAAAGATGAGCAGCAAGAACAATTATCAACGTTCTGGAAGGAAATGTTTGCGGATAGAGACGTCATCAATATTGATCTATTACAACAACCAAAACCCGATATATATTCATTACCGGGAGGAGTCCATGATCTGAAATTTC